GTTATCATTCACCAAGCTCCACACTGCTCCCATTGTCTGTGCCCTCCCCCCTCCGCAAGAGTGGGAACCAGTTAACCCGAGAAAGCGCTCCTGACCCGGCCTTGACAAAACAAAGACTCAAGTGGAAGGACTCTGCACTATTTATTATTAAACACTTATTATGAGCACTGACTGTCACCCCTCGTATAAGGGTGGGGGGTATGTAATGAACCCAGCTGGTGTGCAGAGTTTTATGCTGCAATAGCTACCTGACGGGCATGCTCTAACAGAACCAAAGTTCATGACCTTAACTAAACTATTTCTATGAAGGAGCTTTTTCCTGCTCATTAATTTTGTGATGCATTGATTACTTGGTTGTCTGGGGATGTATATTATTATATTGGAAAAGAAGCGGGTTGAAGAATCCCTTACAGGTGTGCAAATAAGCTTTGTATATCTTCCTTGAGAGCCCAAAGTGGTCTAGCTCATCCACACATTCCTGAAGAGTAGAGCTAACAGATGCTTCAACTCAGGCCTACGTTACAGAGTTTTTGCTGTTTGCCTTCCGTCACTTTTAGGACTCACAGTGAGGACTTAACTTTATTCATTAACAATAACTTCTTAAAGAATTAAGTTACTCTGTGTCTGTCATGGAGTAGTAGTGACATCATAGTGTCTGAGAACTTACTAAAACACTGCCCTGAACTTCAAACTTAATCATGCCAAAACTTTGTCTTTCTGCCAGAAGTGTCTCAAATATGTCAACAAATTCCCTATGAACAAGAGAAGAAGAAAAATAAAGGAAGAAAGAAGAAACGAAGAAGAAACAGCTCTTTAACACTACTGCAAACAGTACCATTGGAAGTGGTATAAAACAACAATCTAGTTTTAGAATTTTTAAGATGTAAAAAGCAATGCTCTGATAACACCCATCTGTCCGGGACGGATCAAGATGAATGGAGGTTGCCAGTGTAAAAGAATACATGTTAGTTAGCAGAATATTAAAATCTGCCAGAGATACATGGAGGCAGCTCTGGGGGGGGGGGGCAGTCTGAGGTCATAGTTCATGAGTCTCCGTTATCCACGCTCTAACTGCAAACTATCATTACAGCTATCAAAGGCGTAATTTTCACAAACAGCATGTGCTCAAACATTCCAAGGAGAGACATGGTGATGGAAGAACAGCCAAGAAATAGCAGACAGTGGCTGTCTTGAAAGACAATGGCAGGGCTGGTGTGGTGGCTCAGTGGTTAAGAGCACTGATTGCTCCTCCATAGGTCATGAGTTCAAATCCCAGCAACCACATGGTGGCTCACAACCACCTGTAATGAGATCTGATGCCCTCTTGTGGGTGTCTGAAGACAGCTACAGAATACTTACATATAATAAATAAATAAATTTTTTTTTAAAAAAAGGAAGACAATGGCAGACTCCATCACTAAACTTTTTCTATGTATCCTTTAGTGTGTTTTGTAACTATGTATTCCATAGTGCTTTTTGTAACACTGGAGTTTGGGGCAGAGGATATGGAATACAGATGGCTTTCAGGTCTCTAGAACCCAAACAGCAGACTGAGGGAGCATTTTCCAGTCTGCCAGCATGGACACTGGTTAGCAGTGAGCAGGTATAGGTTCTCCCAAGACCCTCAGCTGTGAGACAGTAGGCCAGGGTACATTCCAGCTTTCCCAGATTACCCCAGTATGATATGACACCATGGTGACATTTGTGGGCATCCTGAATGAGAGATTGGGAATACAATTTGAGTCTGTAAGGTGATCCTAGGAAGGGAATAAGGAGAGGTGGGGTCATAACATAGAACAAGCCTTCTTGTTTATATACCCAGAAAGTCAACCCAGGAGCACCAATGATACCAGAAATGGGAGAAATCCAAGCAGAGAAGGCAACTGTTGTTTAAGCTAGTCTTTCCGCTGAGGATGAAAGATTGGCTCCGACTAAGGTTAAGAAACAAAGTCAAGGCTAATCAAAGGAACACATTTGAGCAGCTGAACCCAATGCTATTTAATTCCAAACATAGACTTTGCTTTTTTTTTTTAATAGCCTAGACAATATGGTTTGGGAAAGAGCCTTCCCCATATAACTCTGTAAATCATCATCATCATCACCATCATCATCATCACCATGGTCTTTGCACACATGTTTCTCACAGCCTAGCTGCATTTAGTGCACTTTGGAAACCCTTTTCTACGTTAACTCAATTAACCATGAACATTCCTTTCTGGAAGACATGATTACTACTCATATTTCACTATATTGAAACTCAGCCACAGAGAACTTAAGTAGTTTACCACGGATAGTAACACTACAGAGCTAGGTACCTGGAGGTGGAGGGTACTGCTTGCATTACTTCCCTGAACGTTTGCTGTGAGTGACAATGAGCATCTATAGGATCTCAGGAACGAACTGGAGCTTCAAGCCTCATTACCACGAAGTAAGGAGTCACGTACACACTTAATCGTGCAAGCTTATGCTATAGCACAAGTCTGAGAGCTTTACGAGACACTCTGTCTGCTTCACACCCTTCTGGCATTACTGTGCTCACTACGCACGCAGAGTAACTACAAACGCAAGCCTCATACAGAATACCTAGAAAACTGGAAAGAGCAAGGTGGGAGGACGGACTTTGTGGGGAGAGGGCAGAGGTGTCTTAATACGGACACCCTACTTTCTAACTGTTACAGTAACACCTTATTGCCCTGTACTTAGAAAACGGGGCTACAGAAAAGGAGCTTTGTTTGAGACCACACAACTAAGTAATTACCTGCTAAAACTTAACGAACCACTTACCAAACTGAGCGTTCTGCTCAGAGATGTTTTCCTGCAATTGAACCAGCTGTGAACTTAGCATGTCATTTTTAAGAAACTCGGCAGCTTGGATTTTCCAATTGGTCTGTGCTAGGTAGGGTTTGAACCTTAAGGCCTTCTACATGCTAAACAAGTGTTCTACCACTACACTATATCCACAGTCCTGGAAACCCAACACTTATTATTCGATACTTAGAGGACAACTCACTTTAAAGGTTATATTTCAGCCTGAGTCAGGCATTGTTAGTTATAAAATAACCCCTGTGGAATAATAGGGACATCCAGTAATCTAATGCAATCTAATGCTTTTAGATTCATGACCAGCTTCAAAACTATAAGCACCCTTCTACATGTGGTCGGGTGTTTGTGATTCAAGCTACTCAGAAGGCTGAGGCAGGGGAATGACTTGAACCCATAAATTCAAGACCAGCCAAGACAACATTATGGGATCCAGGCTAGCTATAGTACACACACACACACACACACACACACACACACACACACACACACACAGAGAGAGAGAGAGAGAGAGAGAGAGAGAGAGAGAGAGAGAGAGAGAATATTAGATGGATGATTTATAGGTCAGAATTATTTTATTACTCTTAAGCCATGCCATTGCACCAGCCATCCAAGCCACATACAGGGAACAAAACTTCCAAGGATGCTCATTAGGAAGCTGTGAATTGGCAAATATAGACTAGATAGGAAGGATTCAAAGGCCCTGCCTGATGTAGCCTTTCTGCAGTGTCTCAAAGCAGGAAAGCCCCATGCAGTCCACTTTCTCCAAACACCATTCATAACTACCCAGGCCAAGCGCCCAGCCCTCAGGGGAAGGAAAACATTCGGGCCATCTCCTCAGTCGAAGACTTTCAATGTCTTGAAACAATAAGCTGAGGCAAACTGCTTTCTCCACCCTGTGAGAACCATGATTTGGTCACTTTCAACAACCTCACAGGCAGAAGTTGGGCTCTCAGAGCCAAAGGCTTCCCCCCCAAAAGCTGGCTCTTTTCTTTCCCTGATAACTATGTAAATTCCCTCTCTCCCAGCCCCCGCTCTGGAGCTGAGTAGCCGAGCAGCCGCCGGGCTATTCAAAGCTGCGTTTCCAGCTCGGTCCAGCGCTTTCATCATGAATGCATGAATGAATGGGATGCTCACAGCCTGCACAGCTCACGGCTCTGCACAATGCCCAAACACACATTTTTCCCACGAGGGCATTTCGAGTCCGGCCTCCTACTTTTAACCTGTGCTCTTAGAGCGCAATCTATGTGGGAACACAATGTCACTTGTTGCATACATTGAGCTGTTTTTGACAAACGTTTGTGACCACCTAGCTAAGCAGGGGCTTGCAGACAACTCTCGGTGGCAGGACATATTCTCTGTCCGTCTACCTCCCATCTCCAGTGCCCACTGAAAATTCACTTTGGGTTGGCTTCTGTTCTCAAATCTTGTAAAGAAAGCTACTGATTCCATGCAGAGAGGACAGACACACTATCCATCCTTTTTAGGCCCATACGCCACCCCGAGTGCACACGATTTAAACACGCGTGGGGAGTCTATTTGCTCACTTTACAGACTACACAAGGAGCACGCTTTAGTGAACACATTTGTGTCCTGGACGCCATATGCGGGCTCCAATTGCCCAGGACAGCTGACCTTGGGACCCCTTCTCCATCAGTCTTTCCCCGCTAGAACACTTAGGACGCTAGAGACCCAGAGGAACCCGCCTTTCTCCTTCCAAGGTCTCCCTTTGCAGCACAGGACAATGAGGCGAATGCGGGAGAACTCCATTCCCATTCATTCCGGGAGCGGTGCACACAGTCATCAAGCCAGGCGGTCTCCCGCCACTCACAGCCAGCGACTCAGGTGTTGGGTGTGGAATCTGTGTCCCTTCTCACGTGCGGGACGCTCCACTCTAGCCACCCACTGCACTCCTGGATCTTAAGGTCCCGCTAAGCTAGAAAGCAGGTGACCCCTGGAGTCAGAGGAAACCAGAGCCGAGAGCTCCAGAGAGCAGCCAGCGACCTCGGAGGGTGGCTTCCGCCGGCGTTCCTACAGCCCCGTGCGGCCCGCAGCAGGTCAGCGCTGCGCCAGGGTGCGTGCGCCCACCCACAGCCCCGAGCGCCACGCTTTGTCCGCCGCACCCGCACGCTCCCGCTCTCCAGCGGGTGGGTCACCGGTGTTCCCGCCGCAGGGCTCACCTCTCTGCTGGCTCCGCACGGTGACCCAGAGCACCGAGGCCAGGAGCACCAGGAGCGCGGCTCCCGTGCTGCTGCCGCGCATGTCGCCCTCGCCGCTCCTTGCGCTCCTGGGGAAGGTCTAGACCACGCTCGTTCACAGGCACAGTGCGAGTGTGCTCTTCCCAGCTCGACCCTGGCCTGGTGCGCAGGCCCTTCGGACACACCCCCGCCTGCCTGGCCGCGCCCCGCCCCTGTCCTACCCGGGACCTCCCCCAAAGGAGCCCCTCTGCGCCCAGGTCTGTCCTCCAGGGGGAGCCCCGCCCTGCCCGTTGTGGCGGGGTGCCTCTCCTGAGTGGTACTCTGACCCTCCACTCCAGTTGGGGTGAGCTGCTGCGGCTGGCGTTAGGGATCCAATAGGGAGGAAGGTGGAGAGACAGGGGCCTGGGAGAAGCAAGCCTGGCCCAGGAGGGTGGATTCCAAGAAGTATTTGCCCTATTGACCTTTTTCTGCCTGTTGGAGCTGTACAGTCTTGTCCAATCTTCGGCCGCAGAAATATAGTCAGGACACAGTCCATTCTTGCGGGACCCTATACCCTGCCTGTACCTGATCAGGATGCTCTCAAAGTTTTTGGTTTGGGTAGTTGTGTTTTAATTTTGTTTGTAGGTTTGCCAGCCCCCTTCAGAAAATGGGTAGCAATTTGTTTTCTAAGTTGTTTGCCTAGGGAAAGCACAGACGGTTGCTGGGCTAAGTATAAGGAAAGTCTTCCGAGTCTCGGTGTTGATTTTGGAAAAACTAGTTTTAAACCTAGGAAAGTTTTAGTTTAGTTTCCTGCAAAAGTATTCACAACGCATTTCCACATTATACACATACAGGAAAATGTCTCTCATGATGCACCGCGCTATTTTCTCTTTCATTAGAAGGAAGTAATTTTTATCCAGCTTGTCTAAATCAATTTAAAGAACTCTTATCAATTCAGGTTTCTCTAAGCACGGGTTCTTAACTAGGTAATGAGTGAATTTTAATAAGAATACTTGGTTATTATTTGTTAACAGGAAGTACAAAGCAAACCTGTAGCGTTTGGCCCTTTAAAAAAGATACACTGGGGGCTTAGTGGCTTAGCGTACTTGCTGCTCTTGCAGGGATCAGGGTTCAACTCAGGCTCACAAGCTTCTGCAACTCCAGTTCCAGTGACACAACGCCCTCTCCTGACCTCTGTGGACACCGAGCATGCATGTGCTGGGTAAATTATCATACGCAGGGAGAAAATCTGCACTGTAGCTCAGTGATGCCACTCAACACAGCACTTAAGGTTAAATCCAGATGTTCTTAGATCTTTAAATATTAAAAGGAATAACTCACTGGGAAGTAAGTTATGATGTAAAAACAAGCATCTAAAAATAGCTACTCAAGACTTAAACATTTAGAACATCACAACTGTTTTCTCCATTGAGATAACTGCCTGCACAGAGGCTTATATGTTAGATACACGCATAGGGCATTCTAAAAAAATAAATAAATAAAATAAAATCCATGTCTGCGACTTTTCTTTTTTTTTGTTTTTTGTTTGTTTGTTTGTTTTTGGTTTTTCGAGACAGGGTTTCTCTGTGTAGTCCTGGCTGTCCTGGAACTCACTCTGTAGACCAGGCTAGCCTCAAACTCTCGAACTCAGAAATCCGCCTGCCTCTGCCTGCCAAGTGCTGGGATTAAAGGCTTGCGCCACCACCGCCCGGCTGTCTGTGACTTTCTAGAAGAGAGGCCGTTAGAGACGATCCTGTGAGAGACCAGGAAGTGAGTTCAGGCCTGTCTTACCTGCTTGTGTGTAGTCTGGGGCTAGAGCTCAGATCTGATTTCTTGACCAGTTTCCTGTACCTCATTACACTAGGATGTAAAAAGGCCTGCAGGTTCAGAAAGCTCCCGGAATACAGCCTGCAGGTCAGTCACACCTGGTGCTGGAGCTACAGGCAGGGGCCCAGGTTTGTTTTCAAGGTTTGTTTCTCCTCTAGGAAGCAGATCGGAAGCATCGGGAGTCACAGGTCATGATTTACGGTCACGGCTCAGAATTAAGACCGAGTGTTTCAGCAAAAGAAAATTTCACAACTGCGCATGGATAAAATGGAATGGTCAGAATATCTTCATCCCAAATGTTTTATGAAAGCTCATAGTACAGAGTTTTCCACTCCTCACGATGCTTGGAAATTACCTAAATTGCCTCTGGTCCTGTGAGGGTGTGGAGACCTGCTCAGGGTGAAAAATGAGTTTAATAAAATGTCTGACTTTTCTGAGAGCCTACGAACTCCACCTGCTTGGACCAGACACTAGCCCTGTCTCTTTTTTCCATCCTGCACAGTGACAGACCACTCCTGTAGGACAGAGACTTAAGAGAAGCCATCTTGCTGCCTGGACTGTAGTGTTGCTCACATAAAGCACTGTCCAAGTGCAGGGTGCTGCAGAGGCTTTTTACAAGACCCCTCGCCTCTCTCTCTGTACCTTGTCATAACAAGAGTGGCCAGGCTCTCCCTGTGCAGTTAGCAAGAGTAATGCTCCATGTTTTCTAGAAGATGGCCCATCTTACAATTAAAAGCACAGATGCATTAGGCTTAATTAAATAATGAGGTAGCTAGTGTATGAGAATCATTTTCCAAAGGGGGGAAAAAAAAACAAACTGATCCGTACCCTAGGTTGCAGCCCTGACTCAGACACGCTTCTTTCTGACTCGTTCAGAAGTTCAGAATTATTTCCCTTTCTTTACATTTCCATTTACAGATTTATCCCTCACAGGTATATTTTTTTTAAAACGACGTTTATCTGTATCTAGATATTCAGATAATATCCCAAACTTTTCTTTGCCTCAGAGGTTGAGTTTGGGGATTTTATTTTGTTTTGTCCAGGGGTGGTGGGTAGGGGTTGATTTATTTGTTTTGTTGTTCTTTGCTTTGCTTACTTTCTCTCTCTTTTCCTTCCTTTCTTTCTTTTTTTTTTTTTCTTTTTCTTTATTTCTGAGACTAGGGTTTTGCCAGGTAGTCCTGGTCAGCTTTGAATTCATTACATAGCCCAGGCTTGCCTCAAATTGAACTCACAAAATTTGTCTTGTTTCAGCATCCCACCCGCTAGGGTTATGTCACAGCGCCCCACATGGTAGGGTTATGTCATTGTACCCCAGCTTTTCCTTATAAATTCTACCTTAATTTTGCTTCACTCTCAGAACAATTTTTACACTTTAAAATTCCATTTATTTGTAAGGGAACGGATCAAGGTAAGCTCAAATTCGAGGTCAGAGGTTCTCTTGCCCTACCTAGCCCAGGACTCCATTATCTAATGAAGACACTTCCCCGAAATCCATTTAGACCTTGTCTTGGACGGTAAATCTTAGAGAATGCTTTCTGAGATATATCAGAGCCTCTCCATTGTCCTGGGCATCAGTGGGATGATATAAGTGCACACCCATATTCTCCACTGTCCTGGATTTCTATGGGATACGCTAACCACACCCACATATCTTTTGACAATTGTCTCTCCTTTCTTTGAATAGAGATTATCAGAAGAATACTTAATTTGCACAACCTGGCCCTACCCCATCCTCCTCCCACCCTGGCCACGCCCTCCAGGGCTTGACTTGTAGATTGAAGTGACTTTCTTTTAAGGTAACTACACTTAGAGTTCTTGGTCTCTTCTTCGCTTTCCTCAACTAGCTGTTTTTGTGTTACTTGAAACAGAATTCTAATGCACTTTAGAAAAAAATGTATCTTTTTTTCATCTACCTCCATAAAGGATGCCATGGGCCATCTGCTTTCTTATGCTTTTATTTCTTAATAATTTTATTTCTTATTTCTTTTATTTCTTTTTATTTCTTAAGGGATTTAAAAAGATTTTATCTTATATATCTTAGTTCCCACAGTATAGCACATGAGATATATTTAAGCAGAAATAAACATGAATTTTAAATGAGAAAAGGCATAATGAAAAGTCACACACACACACACAAAATCACACAGTGCTTGTGACAAACAACAGCCGGTATACTTGCTTGACAGATCTCTGAAAAAATATTTAAGTTGTGACTTCACTTGTAACATGAAGATAAAGTAAGATCAATGTAGAGAGGCAGAGAGACAGAGAGAGCAAAAGGGGAGGGAGGAGACAGAATGTAAAATCCTAGCACAGTGCCTGGCATCTAGCAAGCCTTTCTAGTCTGAGCTCAGGACCCTAATCACTTGGATTAGGAAGCAATGTGAAAGATTCAGGGGCAGGGATGCCAGCAGTAATGGAAACAGGCAGGCTTGAAGCATGAGCCTTTTAAAGAAAGCAGGAAACATACAGAGACAAAGTACTATTGGTGTGGCAATGTGATATGTGCCCCCAAACTCAAGGCCAACATCTATACAGCAAAGACCCTGTCTCAAGAAAACAAGACAGCCCCTATCTTCTTCCTTATTTGTATGAAGCTATGAGATCCAGAGGAAAGATCGGAGAAAGGAGAAAGGAGAAGCTGAGCATAGAAGGATGTTGCAACAAAATAGCAACCGGCTGTATCAAAAAAGCAAAAAGTTGACAAAAAAATTTTTTTTGGCAGGGAATTGGTTATTAGGAAACTTGGTTTGTGTTTTTCTTTTATAGAGGAAAAGGAAGCCAAATTGATGAGGTTCAAGACAGCTGTTCATAGGGACGTGTAAACAGCATTTGTCCCCTGGACTCTGCAGGACATCTCTGCCTGCTGGGTGTCTGGAACAATAAAATCCTTCAACAGGAATATCAAAGCTTGCAATAGCAGCAGCACACTAGAAAAGTATGCCTGGATACCAAGTATCTGGAACGTCAGAATATTCACCTAGGAAAGGCTCATCCTGGCATTGTCATTATTATCTGCTACTTTGTTGGAAGAGATGTTTAGAAGACATCATGCTTCTTCCATTTATTCCTGGTATAGACAAACATTCTAGAATGTTTGGTTTTCTAAGACCCTTTTATCCAGAAGCCATCAAAAATCCAACTGAGAGTCCAGGGGCTTACTACCCAGCAATGGTCCAGTTTCACTGTGTAGACCAGGCTGACCTTGAACTAACAGAGATCCACCTGCCTTTACCTCCAGAGTACTAGGAATAAAGG